GAAAAAGGAAGAAAAATAAAACGTATCGATATGAGACCAACGACGACTACTGATTATAACGGGCGACATCGAATAATTGCGTATCATGCTCATCGCCTAACCGTGCTCGTGCGATCATTTAACAAGCAGTTATCACAACTACCGACGCGTCTGCTCGTTGTCTGTGTCGACATTAAAGTTCGACACGTGTATCATGTTCGGAGTATTGCCGATCAACAACCATTTTGACCCTCCATCGAACCTTTATATTTCAATCTTAGATTCCTAAGTACACACACACACACAAATATATAATATATAATATATAATATATAATATATTAGGTCGTCAAATATGAAATTTGTAGTGCATCGTATTATTAATTTTTCTTATATATATTCTCTATAATATATATAATATATTATATTATTATTATATTATTATTATTATATTATATTATTATATATTATATAGATATATATATTAGTATATATACAGTAGTATATATATATATTACCATGCTAATTTAATTATCAATACTTTTTTATTAAACCCTTTCCCAATTCGAGATGATTTTCCACATATTTGGTAAATTTCTTATATAGTTACTACCATCAAATAATTTAAAAAAAAAAAAGACATTTGTTAAACAACTATTTATTGTTAAATTTGAAAAACAACGGAGAACATTTTCTCAATTAATTAGATAATCAAATGAATAAGGCTTATTACTACTAGCGATTGAACTTTATAATAGAAACTAATTAGTTTATAAATAGTATACATCTTGAACCGATATATAATACATTCGTGTTACGGCTCTATATATATACACCTACACGTCTATCTAAATATTCATGTATTCATGTCGATTTTGCGAATTCATGTTGCAACATTAAACGTAATCAACATGTACAAATCAACAATTAAACATTTAAATGGCCGTGTACCGAGAGATCGATGTGAAATATTTGATTCTGTTATTAATTAAGTTCAATTTCTAGTTAAATTAATATAACCCAGATGTACACGATAAAACATAAGAAGAAGAACAAAAATTAATTGTATCATTTATAAAAAAAAAAAAAAAAGATTAGAAAGCAAACGAACCTATTGAAAAAAGAAAAAGGGAAAAAAAACAAACAAGAATGAAAATCTTGAATCAATTCAAAATGAGTAAGGTGGGTCTTTTATCGAACTAATGGCTACAACCAAATAAATAATCTTATTAAATCGTTCTGCAACATTCGCATAAATGCATTCACGCGATGATAACATTGAAAATAATATAAAGAAGGAAAAGCTCACACGGAAGTCACGCGAGAAACGAATTAGAAGCCTAAACGTATTTACCGCTTTGGTAACGTCGTCTAATCGAATTTACCTTATAACACAACACGGTTTCTATATTTGATCAAATGTCAACTATCGATATTAAATTTATCCCTTATTATTATTATTAATACCTAACAAATCTTTCTTAAACGTATCACAAAGAAATTATAATTAAATTAATCCTAGTTTTGATCCAACTACAATCATCGTTATCCAATTTATTCTTTTATTATTATTAAATAAAAAGTTGATCCTGTTGAAAATAATTTTCAAATTTTCGAGGCTGGCTTGAAAAGTTCTAAGTCTCGTCAATAAAAAAACAAGACTTCATATTTTAAAAAAATAAAAACCAAATTTGGCTCGCACCAACGTAAATTAATGAATAATGTGTGATATATAAATGAAATAAAAAATCTAAAATCAAATTGAACACAAATGAATGGAATAGAGAATGTAATAAATAAGATAGACGATTTTCTCTACAAATATAAATATGTTACGATATATGTGTGTGTTTATGTGTGTGTGTGTGTGTGTGAGTGGGTGGATGTCACTGGAAGTTTCATTATTTTCCAACAAGTTAACCCTGGTTATTTCGACATAGTACTCGAAAAGTTCACGAGAGACACTTCTTTATTGTCTTTTTTTGTCACGCTGCAACAGAGACATAGTGAGAGAGAAAGGGTCAACCATGATAGAAGGATACGTTAAATGAAAAGCACTCTTTGATGCGCTCCATCGAACCGAAAGAGCTCTGCAAAGAGCCAATGCAAGCTCGGCGAACCAGAGACTGACGATCTTCCGTACACGTGGTTAACCTCTATACATTTTCTTTTCCTTCCTTCCTTCCTTCCTTCCTTCCAAACCCTTCCATTCTTTCTTCATTCCTTTCAGATTAACATTGTCCCATTTTCCTTATTCCTAATTAAAAGATTTCTTTTTTGCATACTACCATTCACTAATTTCTTAAGAAAAAGTTTCTTCAAAGAATTTGAAAAACAAACAATTCATTTAAATTCATTTACAACTTGATATTATTTATACGAATTAAATAATATGATTATTCCAATGAAATAAAAAATAAATAATAATAATAATAATAATAATAATAATCATGAGATAGGCAAGTTGTCGCGAAGAAATTTTCTTGAAAATATATATAATATAATAGAGTATATTAAAATGTTGAAGTTTCAAGATCAAAAGCTCACGTTTAATATATACATAGGTATACGTATTGGATGCATGTATGTGTGTGTGAGAGAGAAAGAGTATCGTCACTGTGAGAAACGTCGAGGGAAATTAATCGATCACCTAGTGCATCATTCATCAGTCTCTCGTAACACCAAGGACGAGAGTACATTCGAGATGCGGTTTACGAAGATGGTTCCGTTGATCGGATCCTCTCTCCTAGGAGATTCAATAATTTAATGAGAGACAGCAACTATCGATCGATCTACCATCTAATTCTCTGTCCTCTATTCTATTTCATCATCTATTCTTTCAATCTTTCACACCACTATTTTTCTCAGATTTTCTTGGGTTCATCGATATAAATCCAATGAATCGTTAATACAATCAACACAAATTCTTATTCAAATCTTGTTTTCATTTTTTCTTCTTTATTTCGTCCCTCTAAATTTTGATCGATTATTTATCTTACCTTAAATACATCTGTAGTCTTCCCCCTCCCCCACTTCCATGTAATTTTGTTAATATAAATAAAAAGTAAAAATGAACAAATCCGATCGTGAAAAAGATTGGAATAATTGTTATTCTCTAGGAATAGAAAACAAAATGAGTTTCTATTTTATTTTGTATAAAAGTTAAAAGCATTAAATAAATAATGTTATTTTGTATAAAATGGTAAAGGCATAAATTGTGGTAGATTCGTGGAGATTGGAATAAAGCATACATTTCATATATAATTTAACCGATCGTTTCATACGTTTCACTAAACTGTCTAAGTAGAGATAGGTCAGTTTATTCGTTTGTTTGGTCAGCATGCAGTTTCGAGTTAGCCTTCCCCCCTCTTAAACTAAATATCGATTCCCTTTGGTATCAAAGAGTTAAAAATATCTATTTGCATGTCGTTACGCATTATCTCGCTCGCGAATTAAACATACTTTTCTAGTTTACATGCATACTATCTATCTATCTCGTTTATCTATCTATCTATCTATCTATCTATCTATCTATCTATCTATCTATCTATCTATCTATCTCTCAATCCTTTTTAAACGTTGCTCGATTGTGGTTGATTTTAATATCGAAGGTCACGGTTTGTTAGACCATTTGCGAATCACTTTTAAAACAAAAWAAAAAAAAAAAAAAAAGGAAAAAAAAGAAACCATCATTTTACGCAAAAGAAATATCAGAATGAATTTATATTTTATCTTCGAAATGATAAAAAAAAAAAAAAAAGGAATGGTCGAAATAAATGAGTGAGTGGTAGTAAAAAAAAAAAACGAGAGAGAAAATTTTATTTGTAAAAAAAAAAAAAGAAAAAAAAAAATGACGATGATCCTCTTTTGATAATCGTCCGGTATAATCGTAAAACCGAATTTACTTTAGCACTAACATAAGCTGCACAAGCTAAAATTAACGAAGTTGCGGAAATAATAACGATGGATATTATTTTCGCGAGTGTTGAGTTAGTAACGACACCGGTGATGGTGAAAATGGTGGAAATGATGGAAAGGGTAAAGTAGGGTGGTGCCTAGCTGTGTAGAACGAGAATGATGCTGCTTTTGAAGGTGGCGGGATTGCTAATGGAGCTTAAGTAAATTCCCATTGAGAATACTGTTCGTCGTATCTCGAGATAAATTTCAAAGGGCGTTATTTGTCGGCAAAACCATCCCCTCACGTTCTATTTCTTTATTTTTCTCTTTTCGCATGAGCACGATGTGTTATTCGCTTTTATTTTGTATTTTATTATACGTCCGAAATCGTGACAAAAATCTTTCTCATTTCATTAACTCTCGTACGTAAAATAAGTGTATAACCAACCAACGTGGGTAGTAAATGTACCCACGGAAATTGCATATATAACGTGGAAATACGTAGACACACGTACACGTACACGTACACGCATTCACCTACGTATTTCGTACGAACGAAGAATAGGATTCCGCGTTTTGTAAGTTTCCATAAATGTAGAAAATCCGATGATAGGACTTAACAGCTTTCTAAATCCTTTTGTAGGAATCCTATTTCCGACAAATCTAAATCTTACACTAGTACACATTTATTTGCAAATCTCTACGTGTCATAATTTATCTCACATCTATCTGATTTTTACGAAAATATAAATTACGAAATATAATATTTGGATTTTAGATACACACACACACACGCTACGAGTCTATATTATTTGACCATTTGAAGAAAATAATATTAAGTTAACTGAAATGAATATCCAATACGATTTGATGTCAATATTCGTATACAAAATCAATTGTTTATTCGAACAAAATAAATAATTACGTTAGAATGTGTCATTCGTCAATCGACATGATTAGATTTGTACGAAACGTATTTTCGATCTACGTGAATTTGGTTGAACAAATTTTGCAAACTTGAAAAAAATTATTCGACAAACCTCTAGAGTATTGATTGAATAAAACATTCGTTCATTTTGTTCTACCTCTTTTTAAAATAACTTACTTAAACAAAAAAAAACTTACTTGGGAATATCGCCGATTCTCGGACGACGGCATATTCGGGGACAAACGTTTTCCCATATGTTGCAAGCTGTAACAAAATAACCAAACAACTCGTTAGAAAGTGAAAGAAAGAAATGGAACGTTAACTTTTGTATGGCAAACTGGTTATGGAAAAGAAAAAAAAAAGAAAGGAGAATATAAAATGGTCAGATATTATCCGAGAATAAAAAAGTTTGAACAAAAATGAGCAGCATGCAGAAATGAACGATATCGTACGGGAAATTCGCGATTTCCTTTTTAACTCATCCGAATGGAACAGCTATTATATCAAGCAACTGCAATAATCATTCGATTGTTAGAGAATTCAATTTCTGATGCTTTTGTACTTTCAAATTATCTTAATCCAAGAAAGATCTTTTAATAATCGATCGTTTATCGATTGAAAAATTAAATTAAAAGAAACATTTGCGAATTCAACGAAAAAGAAAAAAATCATTAAACGCGTTTCGTTCGAAACTACAAAAGTTTAAAAACAAAAACACACAAAAAGTAAACCAAATTCTTTTTTCTACACGTGTACACTATGGTGCAGGGAAAAAAAATCAAATTCAACGTAGTAACGTAGAAGTGTGACAACGAAAAAAAAAAAAAGAGGAAGAAAGAAAATAAAAAACATATAAAACACAATATACATAGACGAATTTTTCGAACGTATTATTGCAAATACATTTATATCTAATAATCAAAAATAAACTTACAATGATTGATCGAATTGATAGATTTAAAAATCCCTTTCTCTCTCTCTCTCTCTCTTTGTGTATGAATGATTCTGAGATAAATATCAAAATTGTCATTGAAGGAACCGTTCATTTCGAACGGGAAGTACGGAAACGTTTAATTCGAATATCAGAATACCTTCGGAACATCGAGGTTAATTGCGATTCATTGCAATTTGTGAGCCGGCACTTCCCCGTTATAACCTCTCTCTCTCTCTCTCTCTCTTACACACATACACACACATAGATATATAGGAGTACATGGATACACTTTGTCTCTCTTTTGCTAGGATGGTTTGAAACCTCCTCTTGTACTCGTAGCAACCCTGTTCACTCCCATCATCGATCCGTGCTAGCTGTGTAGCATTTACTAATTACAAAGTTCACCTTTTGAACAATTACGATGCAAGATGCCGCCGACTACTACTACTACGACGACGACGAGGATGACGATGACTATGACTATGAGTATGATGATGATGATGATTATGATGACGAGGACGAGGACAAACGATGTGGAAGGTGACGAAAGCGATATTCTCACAAGGCCAACCATCCAGTATCGCTACCAAGCGTGAAACGATCAACTTCCTCTTTCCATGATGAAATCAAATTTACGAACGGTTAACGATTTTAACATCGTTTACGATCCCGTTTATGCATGAGAATGTAATCGAAAGATAGATAGATAGAGAAAGAGAGAGAGAGAGAGAAACTACAAAAAATTTACTCAAATTATTATCCGTTGAAAAGCTAACGATATTATTTAATACAATTAAAAGTGAATACTCCAATCTAAATAAGATTTTTATTTAATATATTTAATATTGGATCGAATATTATTATTATATATTATATATGTCGTAGGTATCGG